AACCTAAGGCAAAAGTTATTTTATTGTTTTAGGTCAAGCATCCTCCAACGGTTTTCTTTCATCCATCGGTTCAGTGATCGTCCAATCGTCTCGTCTATTGAAAATTATTCATGCTAAACTACTTACCAGGGACCATCGGCAAGTGGCAATTTAAAAACTCCACAGAGCCAGAGCACTGAAAATTATTAGTCACGCATCCCCTTTATTGGCAATCGTCCACAGTGACAGGTCGAAAACAGCCCTCAAAATTTCGAGTGGGAAACCTATTCGATCGAACAGGAAATTGCAAAAACTGTATGAAAAGATCGAGGCTGCAAGACTGTGCGCTTTTAAACGAGAAAATCACTTACATAAATCATTTTTAAGAGAACTCTTATCCTTAAAAAACTGTGAAAAATTTGTATGCACAAACAAATTACTTGTTGAAATCAAGTTTTATAATAATTGTTTAAGTATGCATAATATAAGCAAATGAAATAGTATAAGTGAGACTTATTCATTGTGAGACAAACACGATTGAAGCTTAATTTAAGATTAGGTGTTAGGTTTTGGACATAAATTAGACTGCAGCTTTTTATGCGATATAAAGATTATCTGCACTAATTACAAGATAAAGAGACTACATGGATATTTATATATGAAAAACAGTATAACGGTATATTTTCAAATTCCTTAATTGGAATTGGAATTTTAATTGGAATTTTTTTGTTGTTTTGTGTTTAATCGACCTCTTTCTATTTTAAATGCATAAAATCAGAAATCATTTAGACTTAGCAAACGTGCATTATATTTGGAAACACTTCTCCATTTTGAAAACGGTGACTTACATTATTTATCCAAGTTCGAAAGTTAAAGCGTTTAAACGAATAGGTTTCTTATTTAAAAAATTGAGGGTGAATCGTCGATAAGAAGAACGTCTTATATTTTTCAGTACTCTATTTTTCTTATTACGTTTCAGCACAATCGATGGAGGTCTTTTCGAGATGGTCACTCGCTAATGTAGTCTTGTAGCTATATGTATACTTCTTCTTTACTAGTGGATTTCTAAAAAGCGAAGTCTCAAAAATTGTAGCGTGTACATGGTGTTTACATTATTACTAGCAAGCCTCCTTAGTTCTTTTTGCAGTCGCATCAATAAAATATACAACTAAATACAATAATAGTATAACAGATTTATTCTATTCCTGAGTTTTTATGAATACCCAGATTACTGTGTTCCATACGTAAAAAGTTCAGAAGGTATAACAAACGCAGTACAACTTTTGTCTTCTTTGGTTATAAAGAAACGATAGTTAGTAATAACGCAAACATCATGCATAATATTATAAAATGACGAAATGTTTGTAATGATGTATGGATGCTAGTTTGACAAATTTTTAATTTAAAAGAGGAGATGGGAGTTGTTTCATATCAATTCTGAATTAGACGTAGTAAAGCTCATTCTGACATATAGTTGACGAGCAGAAGAATTCTGTCGCTTACAGCAACGATGTCTTACAAATTAATATGAAAATTTTTTTATCGGATATGTCATCTAGAGAAAAGGCTGACAAACTGCCGTTCACGAATTTGTGCAACCCATTCGTTGTGAATGTAAAACAGCTTTTACATTTTTTGTTGGATAGTTTTACTTTGTCGATAATAAATGTAGTGACATTGAAGCTAATTATTTGTCGTTAGTGTCTGGCATTTTTCTCTTATATGAAAAGAAATTTTCATATAGTATATCATCCTAAATTCGCGTTAAAGATCAATTTTTTAATTAATTTTAAGAACAGTTCAAGCAATATCATTTTCGAAAAAAGAAATTTCATTGTTCGTATTAATGAAATCGTGTTCGAAAAAATTGTACCCAATAGTACAAATAACATTAACTATTAGTACAATTGTTATAACTATCATTATTATACTTTAATAAAATTTTGTTTTTTAAACTGTGATGCTTAGGAGGGATGTTGTAATAATAAGTTTTTCAAAATGAGCTTGTCGATCTTTGACCTAGGGAGACGTATGAATTATTAAAAGGTCCGAATTGTAAGAAGAAAATTTGACAATTTTATCATGCATTAGACGGTCCAAGTTGAATCGCACAAAGTTACAAAACGCAGTTACAGTATTTTGAATACCAGTAACAGTACAACTGTTCTCGCAGTTTATTTTCTTAACAAAACTATGTATCGGAATCATTCTTTACGTAGAACATAAACGTTGAAGAACCAAAATTAATTAACGAAGCGGTCTACAACAAAGTCTTAATCTAACCAACAACAATTTTTAATTACCTCTGATCGATCATTTCATTGCTTTGATATCTGGAATCAATATATTTTCGATAAGACGATAGGAATATCTGTTCAAATGTTGGAAGAAATTTCGCTGATTTTCAAGCATCAGATTTCGATCTCAATTTATTTTTACAAAGTTAGATTTAAATGAAATTTAAATTGATCTAATTATAGGATTTCGTAAATGATTATCCAATACGTAAATTACTGGTTAATTGTAGGCACATATCGACGCAAGAAAGGATACAATACATAATAACAGTGTTTTATATGAATAACCTAAGATACATATTGCATAATTATTTAAAAGCTGTTAAACTATTATGAACTTACTTCAAGAAAAATTACAATGACATAAAAAAATAATTTGTCAATTAAAACATCATAGAGTTCGTTTCGATGTAAAGTATATTCCACGAACATTTTTACAGACATTGTCGAACGTGTTTACAGAATTTCGAAGTAGACATGCTGGCGAAAAATGCTCCGAATCGTTTCAAAATCAGTAATTCCGAAATTTTGTGTGATCCGAGATGTCTTCTATCCGAGCATAGCGGAACCACTGAAAACCATATTACATACTAGTAAACCATTAAAGCATATCAAGCATCGCATCGGAATTGAATATATCTTAGGCCAATCTAAAAAAAATCATTTCTTCTCGAAAATGATTACGATTACATTTTGTTACGGTTCGAGTCATCCAAGCCTTTTTCGTCGGGGCACATGTGTACGTCCCAAAAAAAACAAGGAAACACTCATCATTCGTCGTTCTTCGAAAAAGTTCTTCTACACACAGTCTAGTGGAAAGAAGCGATGTTCTCGGATAATGGAAGTCCTACTTCATATTCTTTAGACAGTACATCAAACAACATTCCTCGAAACAAATCGTCGACACCTTTATTTACGAGTGCTACTCTTACAGAGCAAGGTGGGATGGACGATCAAAGGGTTAATTACATTTCACGGTGAAACCGAATGCTATTCGACGGAAACTTAAATACGAATTCCATTAACACGTTCCGTGCCGAGCTTTTTTTACTCGAATCTTCACACTGTGATATTTTACTAAAACTTGATGTATTACGTGCAATTATTAATTCTCGTACACATAACAACGTAACAAAAACTTATCAACGCCCATTCTTGCGGTGGAAATTGATTCTTCGGTTCTAAATTTCTTGTAAACAATTTGTTCAGTTCGCTAAGTAAACATGCAAGCGTGTACCATCGATGGTACACGTGGCACGGAACGTGTTAATGGAATTCGTATTTAAGTTTCCGTCGAATAGCATTCGGTTTCACCGCTGTCTCTTATACACATCTAAGATGTGTATAAGAGACAGCGGTGAAACCGAATGCTATTCGACGGAAACTTAAATACGAATTCCATTAACACGTTCCGTGCCGAGCTATTTTTACTCGAATCTTCACACTGTGATATTTTACTAAAACTTGATGTATTACGTGCAATTATTAATTCTCGTACACATAACAACGTAACAAAAACTTATCAACGCCCATTCTTGCGGTGGAAATTGATTCTTCGGTTCTAAATTTCTTGTAAACAATTTGTTCAGTTCGCTAAGTAAACATGCAAGCGTGTACCATCGATGGTACACGTGGCACGGAACGTGTTAATGGAATTCGTATTTAAGTTTCCGTCGAATAGCATTCGGTTTCACCGCTGTCTCTTATACACATCTAAGATGTGTATAAGAGACAGCGGTGAAACCGAATGCTATTCGACGGAAACTTAAATACGAATTCCATTAACACGTTCCGTGCCGAGCTATTTTTACTCGAATCTTCACACTGTGATATTTTACTAAAACTTGATGTATTACGTGCAATTATTAATTCTCGTACACATAACAACGTAACAAAAACTTATCAACGCCCATTCTTGCGGTGGAAATTGATTCTTCGGTTCTAAATTTCTTGTAAACAATTTGTTCAGTTCGCTAAGTAAACATGCAAGCGTGTACCATCGATGGTACACGTGGCACGGAACGTGTTAATGGAATTCGTATTTAAGTTTCCGTCGAATAGCATTCGGTTTCACCGCTGTCTCTTATACACATCTAAGATGTGTATAAGAGACAGCGGTGAAACCGAATGCTATTCGACGGAAACTTAAATACGAATTCCATTAACACGTTCCGTGCCGAGCTATTTTTACTCGAATCTTCACACTGTGATATTTTACTAAAACTTGATGTATTACGTGCAATTATTAATTCTCGTACACATAACAACGTAACAAAAACTTATCAACGCCCATTCTTGCGGTGGAAATTGATTCTTCGGTTCTAAATTTCTTGTAAACAATTTGTTCAGTTCGCTAAGTAAACATGCAAGCGTGTACCATCGATGGTACACGTGGCACGGAACGTGTTAATGGAATTCGTATTTAAGTTTCCGTCGAATAGCATTCGGTTTCACCGCTGTCTCTTATACACATCTAAGATGTGTATAAGAGACAGCGGTGAAACCGAATGCTATTCGACGGAAACTTAAATACGAATTCCATTAACACGTTCCGTGCCGAGCTATTTTTACTCGAATCTTCACACTGTGATATTTTACTAAAACTTGATGTATTACGTGCAATTATTAATTCTCGTACACATAACAACGTAACAAAAACTTATCAACGCCCATTCTTGCGGTGGAAATTGATTCTTCGGTTCTAAATTTCTTGTAAACAATTTGTTCAGTTCGCTAAGTAAACATGCAAGCGTGTACCATCGATGGTACACGTGGCACGGAACGTGTTAAAAAAAAAAGGACTATCGCTTCCATGTTAAATTAGTTACTGGAAGATGTACACGCTAGAATGTAACGGAACTGAATTTCGTAACCGCGCTACTACTGTTTTCTTAATATACAAAATTTTATGTATGTACATGCACGCGCTTCCTTGCTCCTCTACGATAACGTAATTTTACAACTGACGCTGTTTCATCTAACTCGAGACAGTTTATATTTTACAAACGACCGACAACAGCAATTATACCGTCTACTTCTCTAAGGATCAACGCTCGACGCTAAATATACAATTCGTTTAGAAGGTATCATGCGTGGTCGTGTAACAACAGCTGAAATCATACGAACACCTCCTCGCGAAACAAACGGACAAAACAACGTACATATATCTCGCTCGCAACACCCGAGTACATGGATTATCTCTTAATGTGGAAGACATTCGCGAAGTAAATTATACAGCGGCGTTACGCGCGCAAACTTCGGACAATTTCAACCGAATCATCATTAACACCGGTGTCGGGAAATCAAACACAAGTTCTACAAATCGGATAATTATAAATTAATGTTTGGATCGAACTAAGAAGTTCGGTGAGTTCCAACATCCTCGCAAACGCTATTCCCTCTCGAAATTGTCTTTTTCAGCAGCACCGGCGCCTCAATGGAATAACTTTCGTAACAATCTTTCCGTATTCTTATGGAATGCGAAGAGAATTACATTGTTGCAAAAATATTAACATTTCGATCTTCCCTCCAACAAGAGTCCGCATGGGATTTCGCTCGTGCTTCTTAAGCATCTGCTTTCGGTCGATTCGTAGATTATACGCCTCGTGAAAAATTAAGCTGAGTTCGTCGGGCAATAATTGTCGTGTATCAAAGGGACACGCGATCGTAACATTGTTTTTTTCTTTAGTGCGCCGTCGTAAGAAATTTCGTGCAATCGTCGATTCCTCGCGATAACATCGATAACGATCTGAACAAAGCGACACACAATCGACACGATTACACGATTTCCCGCGAAGATGTCCTTCAAACTATGTAATTCGAAAAGCGAACTCATACGTCCTTTTTAAACGACGGGAACAAAGTCGCAGCATCGATTCTACCTGGATTTAATTCGAGGTCCGTATTTAATGGCGAAATCGACAAATTGACCGTATACACATCACTAACACGAACTAATGAAACTCGGTGTCTCCGTGGCCGTACCTAAAACGTCCCGAATACAATCGCACCTACTGCTGTAATAAAACTTCGACGCGACTCAATCCTGACATTCCGGGACGAAGTTGCCGTCATGATCCTTTTCTATCTGCGGCTCTTGTCCTGGATTCAATTGGCCACTTCGGATTAAACCTTTCGTCCGAAAGTGCATCAAAACTAGCGATCTTTCCCTCGGAACGCCCTTCTTATGGAGGCACCGTTGTGTTTTCGGCTGAGAAGTCCCTGTTCAGAGAATTCAACAGTTCCTCGTTTTCCTTGCGCACTGAAAAAGTAAATACACGTTAATAATGATATACTTGTGAATGGTTCTGTTTTGGTGGATCAGATTTGAGCACTGATAGTGGAGGATAGCTGAAATGTGTTGCTACTTGAAAGACGCTTGAAAGACGACATTCAAGGAAAATCGACTACTAGTTATGTTCGCGATGCAGTTTTGAGACAATATAGTTTCATATTATTTCTAATGCTGAAGTGAATAGTGCTGAACATGTACAGATGTGAAAGATTGTAAATACTCGTGTAATATTTACTCATGTTAGTAATAAAATAAATACTCATGTAACGCTTACGTATATTATCCCTGGCAAAAAGCATTCGAGCAACTTTTAAAATGCAATAAGTTTTTAGAAACTGGACTAAATGTCTTGAATTTAATTGATGTTACAGGGACTAGTTTAGTTTACTGTACAATTACTAAAATACTCTTCTTTAATTTTACTCTTACTTAGAGTGATGACAAAATTTTTAAATTACGTTTTCTCAACTTTTTTATCTGAGCCTAGAACGAAAATTTAAGAAACGCATTTTGTAGATCTCGGCAACTTATATGCATGCTGAAAAATTTATTGAAATACGTTGACGCATAATCAAGTTAAAGTCACTAAAAGACGTGAAAATTACCAGTTTTTGGTTGAAAATTGCTATTTCTACGAACTTTAAATGTTAATAGTTTATAATAACATCAACCGATTTCGATGAAATTTTCAGTATGCATATAAGTTACTAGTTACCCTAACATGTCCAGAAGAATTCAAGTTATTCGTCAAGGTTTGAAAAAGTTATTGCACTTTAAAAGATGTTCGAAAAATCTTTCCCAGGTATCGGTCTTCTCATTTTTGACGAATTTCAGCCATTAAATTAAAATGGAAATAATTATAAGTTCGACAATAACGAAGAATTTTGTTAATATTATATATAAGTAATACTACACAGAAATAAAGATATGAATCTAACGATTTAGGCAAAGCTTCTTCACATCGTAAAAAATTAAATACGAAATTAACATTAGCACAACACGTGTTATACTATGAAACCACGTCGTTTAAAAGTTTTAATAAAAAGAAATATCTAGTAGTTGATTTTTCGCCGAAGATATTCTTCTAAAGTAAATGAATGTTACAGTATGAGCATTGTCAGATTAAGACTTGCTTATTGAAAAATGAATAGAATATGATAATTGTTACAGTTGTGTATGTAACATATTATAGTTGCCTGTTGAAGAGGACTATGTTAATATGGGGGCATTTTGCGTATGTACATAAATATGCAATGATTGTTTCGAATGATGTTTCAAGGATCATGTCATGAATAAAAAATGATTAAACTTCGTATAAGAAAAACAAACATAAAGTATGAAAGCGATATGTCTGGGAAAATTGAATTTGAAAATTCGTCACATGTTTTGAAATACTATACTATTGACAACTTTCATAAATGTTCCATAAAATAATCATGATAATCAATTTGTATTCAATAGTAGTGCAAATTTGCAAATTCAATTTATTCAAAATGAAGTTCTATATGCAAAACGTACATATTACATTTTTCTGTTTTCACATATAGAATTATTTCCTGTTTGACTTCACTATAATGTTTCACTTGATACCATTTATGGTGTTCTTAATTCAAGAATTAGGTCGTACGACCTTCAAAAATGGACTACGAGGTCATTATTTCAGGTCACTGTAGGAATTACCGAAAAATTCTGACAAGGGTACGGTGTTGTACTTCGGATCACCTTGTTCTAGTGTTTAAAAACTACACTGAATTGACAGCAGGCTCTGGACTGTGAGCATTAAAATGTCTAACCGGCATCCGTGTTCCCGTATTGGTACCTTTAAAGTTTAAACACATTATAACAATGAACTCACGTTAAAATAAACTTTACATTCGGTTTTAAAAATATTTCACTTTCGATCGTACAGACATCTTTACCTCCCCAAAATGTTGTGTGGGGTATTTTCTAAACATTATAAATATCTTATAAGTTTATTAGAAGTTGATGAATGAATAACAGGATGATAGAGAAACTGTGTATTAGAAGTGTATATTTAAAATATACTTTGCTTAGTATTATTAGATAATTAATAATCTTTATAAAGCGAGGTTCAAATCTGAAAGCTAGAACAATGATAAAATATATTAAGCTGACTTTATTTCTGTCTAATAAATTCCTTATTAGAAAAAATAAAATTCTGTTTCACTGGAGGGTCTGACAGATCTCCCGATTTTGAATGCAAAATGCGGAAAAAAATTGTAGATATTATCGAAATTATTATCGTACGCTTGAAAGGGAAACATTTACATTATTGACTTCTCAATCAAACATTTAGAAAGTAATCAGAATTCTTTCGAGAATATGAAAAGCAATTTGGATGATTTTAGAATAAGGTAATAAAAGTGTTTAATTGAGGAAATAAATTGTAAAACATTATTCATTCTGATTGCATAATAGGTACAATATTTATGTTTTACAATTGTCCTTCGATCAGGAGATCACTTAAACGGACCTTAAATCATGATTAATAATATTAGTCGATATTAAAATCTTCTGATAAAGATACAGATGTAGTTTATTGATGTAATTTTGTGCTGATTGCATGTTTGGAAAATAAATAACGCTTGTGATTCGATGCATAGAAGTAAATGGAAGCAAACAATAGAAATGAATCTGTTAGATTGAAGAACGTGAAGCAACCAAATCTAATCTGAAAGTTTTTCTAATTATAAATCACTTTTTTCCTGCGTACGATGTTATCAATTATTAAATTCAGATTGATTTTGACGTTTCGTTACGTTAATCAAATAAAAAACTAATCAGAATCGTTCTCTATATATAATAATTCAGTTTTTGAGCTTATCATCATCATAGAACAAAAAATGTATTAAGTTTTACAACTATCGTCGCGTACTTTCAGTCATTTTGTGAAAGCAACTTTTTAAAACACGCCGGTTTATGTCAGCGCAGAGAATGTGAAGGAAGGTATGCTTTCGTCGGGCACCAAGATAAAAGGTATTTCAAGAACATCAACTTCAAATTAAAGCGAAACGAAGTTGAGAACAGCGTTTGAGAGGCACTTGAAAGCGTATATCATAATTCTCAAGAAAGCTAAAAAGAAGAACATTATGTGAAAACCGTGAAGGAACTTTTATGAAGCATTTAGCTGGATCGTACCTTCGAAACTTCATTTCGCTTTGATTTTTTTCTTAGGGGGCAGTTCCTGATAGACACAACGAAAGATTTCGAAATCATTTCACCATTTCAGTAATTTCAGTGAGTGTAATTTAAGAGTGATTTAACCAATTAACAGTAAATCATTAGTCGAAAATCAGACAACGAAAATAATAACAAGTGATCAATAGTAACGAAGTACTTAATTGTCGATTGTTTAATGCATAAATATATATGATATTGTTTCTTCAGTGTCGGATAAGCCTCCAGAAAAATGTAATGTGACATAGAAAATTTGTTATTAGTTTTCGATTCAGCGTTCTAAAATATATGAAATATATCTCAATTTCTTTGGGAGTGCAGAGAAGATTTATTTATCGACTGGTGCAATTGCTGTATAGGAATGTAAGTTAGTTATACTTTCGGTTTAATTATGATCGGTAACTTTAAATATTCTTATAAAATTAGATCTATAGATTTGAAGCATGTTGTTTCAAAGAGTTACACTTTATTCGAACAATCTTCATGGGTTGTTTCAGACACACTTGCAGTTTTAGAAGCTTCTGTCACTGTAGTTTCCTTTTTATGTTTCATTGTTGCTGCTAATTATATTACGGATATTCAGAATAAATGTTAATAAATGCCTGCGGAATACAACTATGATTTCGATATTTCAATTCACAAGAAAACTACATTGATATAAATAAAAATCCTTTTCGATTTCTTTTCTAATAGCTAGTTTTTCAGTAGGTATTCAATGTTTTATATAATAATAATCATGAGTGCAAAAGTTGTATAATAATCTAATAAATAACAAAATAATATAAATAATAATGTAAACATGACACTCATTTCTCAAGTATCATAAAAGTTGTCCCATCTCAGAAATCATATAAAATCGATAACTCTAGGATATTCCATCAAGGACAAAATGAAAATTCACGTTACATCTTTGCATGCTTGAAGTTCAAACGAGCAGTTGATTATCCAAGTTGAGTTTTCGGAACAGTTACGTTGAAAACACAACGCATGTTAAGTGAAGTTGAAGATGGACGGGCAGGTGTTATTCAGGCTTCGAGGAATTTATGACAGGCTCTTAAGACGCACATGGTATCACAAGAGCATGATGTATGGGACTAAGCACAACTGTCGTGGTGATCGCGTCGAGTCATTCGACTATCGAGAGGATATTTTAGGAGAATAACGAGAGAAAGTTACAAGTGCTGAGTAGTTTCGAAGTTACGTTACCTCAAACACAGGAACATTATTCCTAGAGAATCTAGCTACGAAGTCGAGAGAGCAGGGTTGTCCCTTAGTTAGTAGGAGGATTGTGTCAGACCATACTTCATTTAACCCTCGAATGGCGGATCTCTCTGACAAAAATATAACTCGGTTATGCCATAGGCCTCAATTAAACACGTGAACATTTAAATTAATTGTCAGAAACTAGTGAAATAACAATATTTATATTCTAGGTTCTAAATGGATCCGAGCTCCGCTGTTCGAGTGTTAAAGGGCAGACCGATTTAGGAAGTTCAAGAAATCAATTTTTTTGCTTGAACCAGTGGTTGCTTAAAGGGGAAGCTTCAAGTAAACCTCTCGACAATTTTTTTATAACGTAAAACATTGATGGAACTATTCGCCACTTCCTATATATATTCTTTGACGTTCCAAGGTACGTAAATTTTGTTTCGTTACATTTTATCGACGTTTACTGAAATAATAAATCTCGTTCTCCATGGACCTCACGGTCGACAGTGTCGATCGGAATGCAATCTAGCATTTTTTTCTTTTATTTAAAACAAGATATA